CTAATGGCACCACTGTCGGGTAAAAAACAACTTCACGTAGGAACCTCCAAATCCAATGGTTTCCCTTTGTATCTTCCTTGCCTTTTCTCTTTTCATACACCCCTAGTGTATGTTCTCATCGGGCATGAACTGATGCATTACCTTAAAATTAAGACTAAAGGAAAGAAGGGGTATTTGGCTCTGAAGGTTGATATGGAAAAGGCCTATGATAGAGTTGAATGGCCCTTCTTCTTGCGGTCTTAAGGAAAATGGGGTTCAGCCCAATGTGAGTTCAGTGGATCGAGGAATGTCTGCAGTCTTCATCTTTTTCGGTTCTTATGAATGGTACACCAGCAGGGTACTTTACCTCGGCCAGGGGGCTTCGTCAAGAGGACCCATTATCTCCCCTTCCTATTTGTTATCTGCACTGAGGGCTTTGCTGCATTACTAAGCAAGGCCATTGGGGACCGGAAGCTCGCTGGTGTACGTGTGAGCCCTAGAGCTCGGCGGGTTTCTCATCTATTCTTTGCAGATGATTCTTATCTCTTTCTCAGAGGATCAATGCAGGAGTGTGAGAATTTGTTGGTGGTCTTGAACGAGTATGAGGAGCTTAGTGGCCAGAGGGTAAATCTGGAAAAATCTGCGGTTTGTTTCAGCAAAAATATTCTGCCCGTGGACCAAGAAGCGCTAGCTACCCGGCTGGGTGTGGGTGCGGTGGGTGTCCAAGATAAATACCTCGGATTGCCCACTCTGATTGCGCAGTCAAAGGTGGTTACCTTCCGGTATTTTGAGGAGAAGTTATTGGAAAGGCTTCAGGGATGGAAACATAAAGTGCTATCTTGGGCGGCCATTGATATGTTGATTAAATCAATTGTGTTCTCCTTACCGCTGCATGTAATGTCCTGCTTTAAACTTTCGCTTGCTCTCTGCCGTATTCTAGATAAACATGTTGCTCGATTCTGGTGGAAGGGGATCGTCGGCGGGTCCGATGGATCTCTTGGCGAAACTTATGCAAAAGTAAACATGATGGGGGGATGGGTTTCCGACAATTTGAATACTTCAATCAAGCTCTCATGGCGAAGATTGGTTGGCGTATCCTTAATGAGCCGGATTCCCTCCTGTCCCAGATTTATAAGGGTAAATATTTCCCGAAAGGCACTTTCCTCACGGCGACTGCTCAATCCCGTCCATCGTGGGGGTGGCAGAGTATTCTTCATGGTCGTGCTCTCCTTCAACGAGGCTTTCGTTGGCAAGTGGGGAATGGTGTACAAATCTCTATTAAAAACTCTAGCTGGGTTCCGGCGTTACACCCTCACCCTCCGATGTGTAAGCCTCAAGTAATACCAGAGGACTCTAATCCAAAATTTGCTGAGCTAATTGATCCTGTGGAAGGGGGGTAGTGTCGCCAGGCACTTCAGCAGATGTTTCCTCCGGAAGTTAGTCGGGAGATTTTGGCAATTCCCCTGCCTAGTCGTATGAGTATTGAGGATAAGGTAGTATGTCATGATACGTGTGATGGTGTGTTTACTGTCAAATCTGCCTATCACCTAGCGGTGTTGATGGATAAACAGGTGGGGGCATGGCGCCCCCGAGTGAGTTGGATGGATAGAGCAAGTTGGATGAAAATGTGGGCCCTTAAAATCCCGCCTAAACTTAAGTTGTTCCTCTGGCAAATCTTTCACCGTATTTTGCCCACCACAGAAGCCTTGATTGAAAAAAGTGTCCAGATATTGCCTCGCTGTCCGGTGTGTTGGACAGAGTCTAAAATGATAGAGCACCTATTTTGGGAGTGTCCAGTCGCTGAAGCTCTCTGGGCACATTCAGGGTTGGAGCATTTGGGTCAGGATCTTCCTCGTCACACTTTCCCGCTGTTTCTTAAGCGCAGTTTGCTTCGATTGACTCAGCCAGATCAAGTTGTGGCCTTTGTAGCGCTCCTCTGGCGTATTTGGAAATCAAGAATTTGAGCAGCCTTTGAGGGCAACAATTCTTGGTTTCCCAACTGATGCACCAATATCATCAGCAGGTACATGAGTGGGTCTCGTTGCCAAAGGATCGATTGATCGTGGACTGGGTTATCTCTCAGCATCATCAGGGCGAGGAGTATAGGGCTCCTCTTGTCTGTATGTGGGATGGTACGGTCTGTGCTGGCTCCCATTCAGCGGGAAGGCTGATTGTTAAGGATAGAGGTGGGACTGTGGTAGCAGCGAAACGGTTGTTTTTTGAGGGTGTGGTTGACCCCCTGGTGGTAGAGACTATTACCCTGCGTGAAGCTCTCAATTGGTGTCAGAGCCTTGGCGTCCCTCAAGTGAGGTTTGAAGTTGATGCAAAGGTACTCAATGACAAAATTAATGCAAAGGATGCGCGGGATAGTGATGACTCGGTATTTGCACATGTTTTCCCCTTTGTTTCTTGATTGTTTGAGCTTGAATTATCGTTTCTTTGGCCTATTTTACGCTAGGTTGTGTTCCTTTGTCACATTTCAGGTCCTCGCACATAAAGTGAAGTATAGGCGCAAGTTTCAAGTCAATCAGAGATCAATTGGCGATTCGGGAGAAGAAACTCGGGCATGACCTGAAGAAGAATGGATTTCTACCTAACTTTATGGACAAAGAATCATGCAAATTTGTCATGAAAATAAAGAGGACGAGACTACGAGCGTCTGGGTTCAAACGGCGACTGATTTGGAGTCCTGACGAGGGAGAAACGAAGCTTTGAACAGGAGCGGAGGAAGAATTACGGGCAGGAGAATTACGACCGTAATTTGGCCTCCCATGCCCGTATTTTCACTGCCGAGAGGAGCTTTGGGTGCGCTAAAACTTAACCAAAACGCGTGTTTTGGGCAAAATACGGGCATGGAAGAATTACGACCGTAATTCAGCCCGTAATTCGCCCAGAATCGGGTTTTTGAGGCAGATTCGAGCCAAAGGAAAGGGAGAACTGGGTTTTTGGTTCCCAAACACCCAAGGAACGAACCCTAGAGAGAGAGAGAGCGACTTGGGAACATTCTTGGAGCTATTTTGGAGGATTACTTCGCCATTGGAGCTCGAGAATCAAGCTTGGAGATGGAGATTGAAGATCTAGATCAGATTTCTGCAGTCTCTCTCTTCTCTATGGAGTAACTTCCCTTCACTTAGGTTTTGAGGAACCCTAGTTCCATGTGTTAGGATCTTTCTTGTATGAAGTTTTGGATGCTATATTGTTTGATTATAATTGATTGAGGCATGATTTATTGAGTCAATTGAATCTTGATCAAATTCTCTTGATTTCTGCTTTAACCTATGATAGATAGAATCTGATTAGGTTAAGAGAGCTTCCTTGATTGATAGTGGTGAATTGGTTGTGCGAGAGTCAATCAATTCACTGCTTTGTACTGGAATTCATTCCAGTAGTGGAGATCTGTGTGAATCGCCTTAGCAGTCTATCCCGGTGATGGCTAGTCGCCTGTCGGGTATTCTGTCTGAGAGGGCTTGGTCAGCTTAAGAGATTCCAAGCTAATTTAGGATGTTCCGCAGTTTAATCAACAGTAGATCAACCAAAGGTAATTGCAACTTGGACCTAATTGAGGAGCTAGGGGGAATCATACCTAAGTGAGTTCCCAACTTGTAATTAGTAGAGTAGTCAGTAGAGTAGTTTATCAATCAATCCTTAATCTAGTTTGCTAGATAATGAACTGAAGCTAAGTAATAGTAACTCTAGAGACCCGTGGATTCGATATTTATTACTTGTGCCACTATACTGCAGTCCCTTTCATTGGTTACACTTGGCCATTGTTAGGTGTTGTGTTTTGGCGTGTCAGATAGTCGGGTAGGAGCTATAATCGCGGAGATTTTGAGCCTGCTAGGGGTGAATAATGTTTTTTATGTTTGGTTCGTCGGTCGAAATAGCAATAGGGTAGCCATTCAGTGGCTAGGAAGGCCCTTTCTTTGTCTCTGACCTCGTGTCGTTTGTATGATTTTCGTGCCTGGGTTGAATCCAGGGTGTAACTTCTGAGCTTATCAATATATTTATGATTATCTTTGGTTAAAAAAATACAAATAAACCACATATAGCGACGAAATTGGTCTCTTCCCCTGCCTCTTCCCATCTCCGCCATTGCTTGTGTCGGAGTCACCATCGCCCGCGCCGCCATCGCCCGTGCTGGACTCGCCATCGCCCGCGCCGCCATCCCCCGTGCCGGACTCGCCATTGCCTGTGCCGCCATCGCCTGTAGCCGGACTCGCCCTTGATTACCATATTTGCCCCACCAATGCCTCGACAACGCCACCGCCACGCCGTCCTATCTCTTTCAGCCGTCGAAGTTGGCGGATCTCTACAACGTTGGCGGATCTCTTCCAGTCGTGACAACTCCGCCGTAATGCCGCTGCATCAATCTCTTCTACCCCAATATCTCTCTACGTTGGCGGATGTCCAGATCTCCCAATCAAATCTATAGTCACAAAGAGAGTTGTTACAATAGTAATTTTCCATATCTGTAGTATTGTTTTTAGATTTGTGGTAATTATTATGAATAATAATGGGTTATATTAGTAGCAATTTTACAGATTTGATTGAGGTTTTATGGTGTAGTAGTGGTTCTTGGGTAACTACATATTTTAATCACTACACAAGAAACATAAATCGCTACACAGAAAATACAAAGCCATTCGAGTAAATTCTTAAATCACTGCTAATACCAATTAAATTGCTACCAGAAAATTTCTAAATCACTACTAATGACAATTAAATTGCTACTAGATAAATTTCTAAATCACTATGGATAACACTTAAAATAAAAAACCACTACTATCAAACCAAAATAATTTTTTTTATAAAATAACTAATACACAGAGGAAAGAAAAAATATATTTTAATTATTTATTATTTTTAATATTGTGAAATACCGAACAAATCCTTCATTAATAACCATCGTCAAATTAACTTAAAAAAATTGATGGTGATTAGAGTAGTTATCACGGTGCTAACTCCTATAAAGTTAGCACTCTAACCTCTCCCAATGTAGTTTTGTTCAATTCATTACAGGGCCTTGTATTAGCCGCTTCCGACACAACCATGGTGACAATGACCAGGCTCCTCTCTCTCCTAGTCAACCACCCCGACGTCTTGAAAATAGCCCAATCCGAGCAGGACAGCCGCGTGGGCAACCAACGTCGAGTTCAAGAGTCCGACCTCCGCCACCTGGATTACCTCGAAGCCATCATCAAGGAAACTCTCCGCTTGAACCCTCCCGGCCGGTCTCCTTGCCACACCAATCTATGGAAGACTGCACCTTCTCCGGCCGGTCCGTTCGCAAGGGCACCTGGCTCATCGTCAACATATCCAAGATCCAACACGACCCGAGGGTCTGGTCGGACCCGGACGAGTTTCGGCCCGACTGGTTCTTGACGACCCATAGCAGGGGCGGAGCCAAGATTTAGCTTTCCGAGGGGGGGAGTTTTCTTAATATGTTACCAAAAAAGGCTAAAAATATTTTAAAACACTAATGTTATTATTATAACCACACAAAATATTTTCATATTAAATTCAATACAAATTGAAAATTTTAAAAAAATAATAATGCATTTCAATATTGTTGCACATTTTATGCTAACAAAAGGAATGTCTACTAATATTAGTACTTAGGATAAAAATTCATTATATATCCAAAATTATCATTAAAATGAAACAATTTAATTGAACTAATTTCACATTAATAAAATAACGAACCAAAATATGAAAGTTAAATAAAAATTGAAAACAATCATCATGTAATTAATTACGTATTGATGTAACCTGAAATTAATAATTAACATGAAATAACTGCTTACCATGATACAAGAGTGGTAGTACGACTTACTACCATTAATTAAAATGGGAGTGGAAAAAGCAACGAAAATGCTTATATCTGGCGTGGAACCAGAGATCACAGTGTCACTAGACAAGTCGTCTTCCACTGTGATAATCAAAGTTTGTGTAAAATGCTTTGCACCTCTTATTATCTATAAAATAGTTTTAGTTTATACGTAATATAACAAACCATTTATACATGACTTTCGAGATTCTCGGGGGGGGGGGGGGGGGGGCGAAGCATGTTGTAGCTCCGCCCCTGCCCATAAGGATGTCAACCTGAGGGGGTAGGACTTCGAGTTGATACCGGTGTTGGGATTTTTAGTGGTGTGAATGGAAATAAAAGGGGAAAGTTTCAAGAGAGTCTCTTGAAGTACCATGTTGGTAAGATGTGGGAAGGCATGGCCTCGAATTCGATCGATTTGATGTAATATGTGGTTAATTGGTTAAATTGGTTTGTGTAACCAAATGAACCAAACCGAGTTGAACCAATTTGAACCGAACCGATATGGCGGTTGGAATAACCAAACCGGTCCAACTTCCATGAGGCCGAACCAATGCAATGGTTGAAATATTTTAAACGAACCAATGCAATGGTTGGGGTGTAACCACCCATATGAAGAGTCGCCTCCCTTCGTACGCACCCCTTCATTTTCTATAAATATCACCATACCCCCTCTTGTTTTAACTACGAGTTTTACATGGATTTTTCCCGGTACTGAAACTCTGCCAAAATCCAAAACTAGTTCTTCTGCATTCTTTTCAAAGAGAAATTAGAGTCAAGTGTGGTTCTCGCCGTTTCGCTGCGTTCGATGGTTTCCGGGGTTTGAGGTACCGCTACGCCGGAAAAGGTACGTCCTTTCTATCCTGGGAGGAATCATTCCACAACCTTGGGTACTTGAGGGGAATAAGATTCTTTAAGGAGAGATAGTGAATTCTATCGGCTAGGACGCTTGCATGTGTCTTTGCATGTTTTTCTTAATCTTATGTGTTTGCTTGTGTTGCAAGATAATAGTATACGTGAACAATTTTCCCAACAATCTTAAAGAATCTTATTCATTCACGTTTACTACTTGCATAGCAAAGTTGATATAGGATTTTGTTAGTTTGATTTATCTGTCGAGCGAAGTGTTGATATTCCAATTAATGATGAAAGTGTAAATGGACCACTCGGTTCATTTTTGCGTAAAGGAAATTGGGATATATATATGTTCGGTATAATATGTTATGTTTCTTGTAGTGATTATGCATGCAATAGGGTTCTGGTTTTACATCGGGTCACTAGAAGAACCGTGCATGATTCTGTGTGTTAATTGGCCTCCATGCGTGCATCTGTAATTTGATTTATAATTGATGATGAAGTTTTAGTTGGAACACTTGGTTCCTTCTGCCAAAAGAAATTGGGGACTTGTTGTGATGTTCAGTATATATATATGTCGAAGTAAAATTGACAGTTTATATCTGTGTTGGTACTATAACATGATTATACATGGTGGATAGTTCTATTGCCATGCGGTACTGGTGATTTCCTTGACATCAATCTGGAAGTGCATTTGATAGTGTCACGAAATTAACTTGGCATATATATTATAACATGTTTTTTTTGTGAGTGGAAAGGAACGTTCTGTTCCTATATTACATGTATGTATATATTTATTTGCAATATATAGAGTGTATATATATGTTTTTCTTTTCTTCTGTTTCTGTCATTGGAGGAAAGAAAGGAACTTGGTTCTGTTGGAAATTTGGTTCCGACAGTGAAACATACATATATATATGTTCGGATCCTGTACTGGAAAGTAAGGAAGAAAAGATGTACTTGTTGATGACTTGATGGTATAAGAAAGAAGCACTCGATCGGTTCCTATTCTGATCATGCGCAGTAGAATAAATATTCTACATGAATCGATGGGATGTCCCTGTGTAATTGGTGGGAGCATCCAACCAGTTTGTAGACCTTAGAGGACATAAGAGAGGAGAAGTCTTTCGACAAGTTGGTACTCCTCCTTGTTCGCTATATAATGACATTGGTGGAAAGCATCCAACCAATTATTGGACTCTAGATGATATACCCATCTATGATTGGTACTCAATGGGTCCCAATGTGGACGATTTGGACACCCATGTGGACTCGATGGAGAGTATGGGGGAAGAAGAGGAAGTTGAGGAATCGGAGAACGAGGAGGAGTACTCCGACGTAGCGACCGATGAATGCTTCTCTGATCCTGAATTCGACCCCAAGAATCCTTAGGATTCTTGTATATGTATTGTAATCTCCTTTGAGGAGTAGACATATGTATGTGTGTATATATACATATGGTATTGATATGTGTGTACCTATGTAAGTCGTGTATTTACATGATGAATAAAGGACAAATGTTCTTATCTCCCAAGTGGAAAATTAGTTGGATAAAACCTTACGAGTTTGTTTGGTTCCAAAATTAACCACAAAGTTTTAATGCTTTTATTGCATTGGTCCATCTCTATTATGTGGCATGGATGAATGGTAATTGTACCAATTTAATTTGGACACTTTTTCATTCAAGGGGATGCATGAGAGGATGGAAGTACTTATGATAGTCCTTCATGGACTCTAAGTAACGGTGGTTTGGATAGTAGTAAACTATCTAGTGGGAGAATATGAACAATCATAGGTGTGTAAAACCTATGGAGCGTGGCAAGTGGGGACTTGTGAGTCAAGTCTATCTAAGCCGGAATGGTTGCAAACGTAATGTTCATAGTATGTTGGACATAGTTTGAAAGAGTATACCTCCAATGTGTTGGAGATGAAATTTGGTTAATGCACGTTTAGGGATTGCATTACGAGAAAGCTACAAGCGACAAGGAATTCTAATTCCAACGATGTTGGTCAAGACATGATAATTTGTTTATCATGCATGTAATTTAGGACTTGATGATTCCTATGCCACGAGGGCAAGGAAAATAAAGTGATTGATCCTTATACGGATTCAATAAGCTTGCCAAATGATGGTTGTCATCAAGATAAGCATTAGGTCAGAATTGCTTATGGTATAAGTACACTATACCATTGGAAAACAATTTGACTATGATTATCAACGTGGAGCTAATTGTCAGAATTGTTTATGGTATATAATATATAGATGTATATCATTGGAAAACAATTTGGAATGAGAGCTCAATTGAGATGATCTGATTGAACTTAAAGACTGGATTACTTGTGGTATATTTATGAAGTTTATACCATTGGAAAGTAATTAGACAATTGAATTAGAAATTCGTTTGAATTACTTGTGGTATATCATGTTACGTATATGAAATGTCATTGGAAAGTAATTAGATGGGATTTCCATTACTGGAATGCATCTGAATTACTTATGACGTCTCAAGTTGCCTTTATCAATACCATTGGTAAGTAATTGGATGATTTTTGTAATAAAATTTGAATTGTTCGTGGTATGCTAATTGAGTGAGATCATACCATTGGTAAATAATTAGATACATATAGTGGTTGGCAAGTTCAATAAGTAAAACCAGGAAAAATAAATGGGATTATTCCATGATGTTTGGCAAAGAGTAGAATTGTGGGGGAGAAGAGCCTATTGTTTCGGCTACTATCTCAAGACCCTACAATGGGACGCAAACCTATTCATAAGACAAAAGTGGAAAGGTAAGCGAAGTCATACTTGAAAGTATGAAGGTGTCACTTGAGAAAGTGAGAGTCCTTAAACCTTGTGGAGTTAACCCAGTCCAAGGGTATAACTTATGAGTAAACTCTAGCATATATTGACGTTATGTCAGAGACTAGAATATTTATTGATGTTGATCCACTCTTCTCAAAGAGATGATTTTGACCATATACATGAATATATATGAACAACATTCCCCAAAGAAACGTTGGTTTCAACAACTATGGTGAAATAGTTGAAATGTGGGGGATAAATTGGGGAGAAGTAATGTGGAATGTCGCTTGGGTGATTCTAAAGTGAAAGTGATACTTAGAAGTTTTGCGTAAACCCTAAGCTAAGTCATAAATGTCACTACATTTGAAGAGATACTTGTGAAGCTTAAGTACTCTAAGGTTAATGAAGTGGAGAGACTTCAATACCGTTGGCATGTGTTATGATTATTGCAAGACAATAAAATCAAGTCAAGCTCACAAGATGTGTAGTGAATTGGAAAGAGACGAGTCTTTGGTGTATTGTACCCAAAGGGAACTCACCGGATGAACCAAAAGGAAATCCATTAATGGATAGGCATTTATGGTTAACGAGGAGCAGTATCTTGGAAAACGTCCAAGTTAAACTCTAAGACCGGTGAAGTTGAGTAGTTTGGCCCGCAAAGACTGGCGTTAATAAACGCACTTGTGCACAAAATGGTTATTGCAAGGGCTAGAAGTGTTATGTGAAAAAAATCATCATTGATAATGGAAACATAACACTAAGGTCAATTTCTAGCAAAGTTATCTAAGTTGATCATGTAGATCAAGTGATAACAAATGTGGGGCCCACCTAGAAATTTGTTAAAGCATCGAAGGGAATGGACTCGTGGCCTAGGACAAATCATCATGGCGGTAACTCTACCTAAGCAGGATTGGCAGACCCAACCTCTAGGTTCAAGGAGAAAACAAAGTTGTGAATGATGGTCCGACATTGTCAAATTATTCAAAGTCCATTCTCATGATGAGACAATGTCCAACTATAAGGGTAAACCTAAAGATGGAAGGTTTTTAATGGCTTCTAAGTTTGACACAGGATGTGATCAAATAGTGTATTTTCGGAATACATGTTTAGAAATCACCTATGTGAGTGTGAAGTGGAGCCGCTTCAAGGAGAATAAAAGAAGGCCAGTTTTCTAAGCACTCATGAGACCAGGCGGTGTTCATGGCTGAAACGAACACAACAATGAGAACCAGTGAACGGATAAGAGTTAGGTGTGTGACATATGTTGTCTTAGTATACAAGCAAAACCGACGGTTCAAAGATATCACATCTACCGATTGGTGAGTATACTCGATATATGTTCACTAAGGAAGGTTCAAAGGGAAACCTACCTATTCCGATGCAACTAATTCTTAGTCGAGAATCACACGATATTTTGCATAGTTTTTAAAGTACAACATTCTCCATTCATGTGGGGGATTGTTGGGATTTTTAGTGGTGTGAATGGAAATAAAAGGGGAAAGTTTCAAGAGAGTCTCTTGAAGTACCATGTTGGTAAGATGTGGGAAGGCATGGCCTCGAATTCGATCGATTTGATGTAATATGTGGTTAATTGGTTAAATTGGTTTGTGTAACCAAATGAACCAAACCGAGTTGAACCAATTCGAACCGAACCGATATGGAGGTTGGAATAACCAAACCGGTCCAACTTCCATGAGGCCGAACCAATGCAATGGTTGAAATATTTTAAACGAACCAATGCAATGGTTGGGGTGTAACCACCCATATGAAGAGTCGCCTCCCTTCGTACGCACCCCTTCATTTTCTATAAATATAACCATACCCCCTCTTGTTTTAACTACGAGTTTTACATGGATTTTTCCCGGTACTGAAACTCTGCCAAAATCCAAAACTAGTTTTTCTGCATTCTTTTCAAAGAGAAAATAGAGTCAAGTGTGGTTCTCGCCGTTTCGCTGCGTTCGATGGTTTCCGGGGTTTGAGGTACCGCTACGCCGGAAAAGGTACGTCCTTTCTATCCTGGGAGGAATCATTCCACAACCTTGGGTACTTGAGGGGAATAAGATTCTTTAAGGAGAGATAGTGAATTCTATCGGCTAGGACGCTTGCATGTGTCTTTGCATGTTTTTCTTAATCTTATGTGTTTGCTTGTGTTGCAAGATAATAGTATACGTGAACAATTTTCCCAACAACCGGTTGGCAGTGGAAGGAGGATGTGTCCTGGTGTGAATTTCGCGCTGCGGGTTATGCACCTGACCCTGGCTACACTATTGCATGGGTTCGATTTCGTGAGGCCCGGCAGCAAACCGGTTGACATGACGGAGGGGATCGGGCTGACTGTTCCTAGAGCTACTCCTCTTGACGTTTTGTTGTCTCCCCGCCTGCCTCCTCATCTATATGGGTGAACCGAATATAACGAAGTATTAATTTCGTTATTGTATTTGAATGAAGACTCAATGTACTTGACATTAATATTATTGTTGTAGGCGTACTTACATTCTCTAGAATAATACGGTCATTCATGCTGTGGTGAAAAGTGATCGGTATTGTATAAACTACTAGAATAAGGATCACAATTTAAGAATCATGAACTCGGAATCGTGGGTACCCAGTTTGGTCTAGTCTGATCAACCCATGCATGTACCATTTAGTATTTATGATTTTGAGTAAGGTGCAAATTTGAAATTGACAGTTGAGCAGGATGCTATTAAAAAATACTTTATTTTGCTTTTAACTATAAAAATATGTATAATTTATGAATGCTATTAGTCTTTATGGGAATATAGTCCTAACAATATAGATAATTTATGAATGTCACTAGCCTTTATGACAATATATAGTTGCACAAAAATTTTCAGAAATATAAGAATATGAATGCTAAGTTGAATTATTGGTAGTTATGTCCATGAATACATTGATACTCATGTACTAGCTAGCAGGTACCATTTGGATTTAGTTGAGTTCTCTCTTTCGAATCTTAACTTATATTATGGCAGTTGTGGAGCAAATTTTTGCCACGTAGGACAAAGAAATCTCCATAATTTTCCATGTTATTTTGTCATTTTTAACATTTTAAATTATTAGTTACATTAAAATAAAACTAAATGAACATGTAAATCAATCATCATGACCAAGATTTGAACATGTGACCTATGAGGTCAAACTATCATCATTTCAAATGTTCAACCACTAGAATAAAGTATATTTGATGCTATTAATCACAACAAAACATATATATCAATTACCATAACTAAGATTTAATCATGCAACCTACAAGCTCAAACTGTAATCATTTCAAATATTTAACCAATAGAATAAATAATCTTTCATGCAATTAATCACAACTATTTTTTAACCAATATAATAGCTATCACGTTTAAAATTTTATATAATATTTTTTAGCATTGATAAGAAAATCATTAACATCTAAAAATAAATTATTTTTAGTTTATAATATGTTTCATAATTTTTTTATAATTTCTTACAAATAATTAAAAAAATCCGAAAAGCATAAATTTAGTTGGTACACAATTATAAACTTTTACATCATTTGACATGTTATTTTCTTTTAAAATTGAAAAGTGAAAAGTAAAGAATAATCTTCTTCCGCATTCTAGAACACAAAGAATTTAACATTTTATTTGTACGAACTACTATAAATATGTGAACCAATGTAGATATGTTGCAGTTTGTTAGAAAATACTTACTATAAATATATGAAAAATATATCAACATAGTTCAGTCATATGGTACATTGATATATACACAAAATTTCATGTGTTTAAGAATATCACTAGACACCAATGATCACCAAATATTTTTTTGTATATTTTTCAAAACTGAATTATGGTTATATGGTTTAAATATGTTTGTGACCAATTGGTGAAAGAAGTTAAAAAAAAAAGTCATGTACATATACATAATGCATTTGTCATTTTTAGGATTGAATTTGGCATTTCTCGCATATTAAAATGATATCATTATCTTTTCTTTTATGTTATTCCAACTTCTTTCTCTTTTCATTTTCCATTCGTCATTAAATATTCTTCCATGCACAATTATAAAACACATTGTCTTTACTTTTTTCCTAATGTAATTATAATTCCTTTCTTTTCTCTTTTTATTGTTTGACATAAATTCCTTTCTTTTTCATACATGAGTGTAGATGTGCAACTTTGAGTCATATTCAGATGAATAACACCTAGTTTAAAAAAGATTTGTAAACGAATCTTAAACTATTGGATATATGATGGTTGATATGTAAATAACTATTTTAATACTTACTTAATATGACAGCCTAATACATATATTACTATTACTGTTTTTAGTAACCAGTTATACTCGCCGGACAGCCTTACTCATGAGATAATGATATATATCTTCTCCTTTACCTTTAAGAGTATAGTTCAAAATGACTTATTGTCCCTCCTATTGACCATGGCAGAACATGGAGTATTCAGTTTTCCGTCACCCACCTCTCAGGCCTTCTGTCTTAACTTAACTGTCAAGATACATGCGATATGCTATATCTAATTCAGTCAAATAAACATCAATTCATCACCACATGCCATATCACATTCATCATCTCAAACTCAAAGAATTCATACATCACAACATAAGGACCATCACCCAGCCTCTTGATTACTCAATGTTTAAACATGTATGCATCAAATATCACATCATACTGGCATTACCATGTAACCCCTGTCCCGGCATAGCAAAACATCATATCATCCAATCTTAAATCATTGTATAAAACACCATAGAAAATCATCATCATCGACATGCACATTTCATATATCACATCATAGAAAGTCATCACTTAACCACATCATAAGTAATATCTACAAGGATTCAATCACATGCATGGTTAGTTTCATTGTATTTTACATCTTAATTTGCCAAGTCATACATTCCTCGGGTAGTATAGTAGATGTCATGCATACCACCACAGATCGTACCTAGACTGGTGTCCTATAAATCCACTGCGGGTCATACCCTAACCGATGTCATGTATACCAGGGTGGGATGTACCCGGACCGGTGTCCTATAAAATCAACGCAAGATCATATCATGACGATTCCCTGTAAATTTAGTTACTATACTGACTGCACAACATAGAGCCTTTATGTTTGTATTAAGTCACACAATTCCAGTTATAGTCAGTCACATATTTAATATTGGATGATAATGTGAAATAAAGACAAAGTGTCTCAATAACTAACATTTGCTTTGATATCATTCGTACAATGTTGAAGGTGAGAAGCATAGCAGAATAGTTTTGGTGTACTTTGATATAATGGTGGAAAAGGCTAGCGTACACTCGAGGTGTAATATGCACCTTCATTCATAACTATTATTTGTATGTTAATATATTTTGACAAATAAGAATCGGTGGTTATTATTTTTCATTAAATGAATCGTACGATTTGTATTAGAGAATTAGAGACCATGGTTCACCTATTAAAGAATATTGTATAGCATCATGTGCCAAACTTCGTTAATACATGGTCTAAATACCAACTCTATAGGAGTTCGGTAATGTGGCGTACACGAGTTTAAACCATGTACAACTTATGAAGTTGACAATTGTTGGTCCAAGCGGTGATGAAGTTACAGCGTTGTTTGACTTTATTGTTGATCATCATTAAAACATAGAGTAAATATAGCGGCCCTCATATCAGATAAGTCAGTGATAATAGGTAACAATAATAAATAATTATGAAAATTAGGAATCTGATATCATTGAAAAAAATAACAAATAATAGAAGGAAAAGTACAAACAGATAATACTCGCCGCCCATCGAACGGCATAAAACTAGTTCAATTAATATTTGATTTTTTTTTATTTATTTTGTACTTGCTAAGTTGGATTTCAGTTTATGGGAGAAATTTGACCCAACCGACCCATTACCTTTCCTAAATACATTATTTCGTCCGTATACCAAGCATCAGGACCATATCTCACTTACCTCAGATCATGTATCACATTTGCATATCTAGATCTGGCAAATTACAACCCGACCCGTTGACCCGATCCGAAACCGCCAGAAAACTAGGAATTTTTGTAACCCGAAATCCGAATGACCCAAACCCGATAACCCGTGATTTTTTTGGTCGGATTGGATAGGTTAGTGGGTCGACCCGTTAGACCCATTCCATTTAATATATTACTCCTAAAATATGGTAAAATCACTCATAAATTGGTGAGATGTTTAAAAAAATCACAAGGATTTGAATGACATGTTTGGAGTTTCAGGATAATCAAATATCATGTGTTTCTTGTAGCAGTATTACTCTTGTGATTGCTTATATTTCATTTCATAAATATGTTAATTGACATGTGTTAGGTAAACTATTGTCATGCATATGTGAAAATTTGTGTTCTTTAAGAAAATATGAAGCATGTTTGATATTGTCTCTGAGAATGCTCATAACTCGAAATGACCTGTAACCCGACCCGAAGCCGAATGGGTTGGGTCAATATTTGACCTGAAATAAGCCAACCAAACATGACCCTACCCGTAACCGAAGTTCCCAACCCTAAATTACCCAACCCGACCCGATTGTCAGGGCTATACATATCATTTGTCTAGAACAAGAAGTTGTCATTAACCAAACTATCCATATTCATAGGAATCGTACTATTAAAGGGCTTGTGATTTTTGTTTTGTGTGAATTATCTCCTCAAGTTTAGATATATATGTTAATTGACATGTGTTAGGTAAACTATTGTCATGCATATGTGAAAATTTGTGTTCTTTAAGAAAATATGAAGCATGTTTGATATTATCTCTGAGAACGCTCATAACCCGAAATGACCTATAACCCGACCCGAAGCCGAATGGGTTGGGTCAATATTTGACCTGAAATAAGCCAACCAAACATTACCCGACCCGTAACCGAAGTTCCCAGCCCTAAATTACTCAACCCGACCCGATAGTCAGGTCTATACATATCATTTGTCTAGAACAAGAAGTTGTCATTAACCAAACTATCCAAATTCATAGGAATCGTACTATTAAAGGGCTTGTGATTTTTGTTTTGAGTCAATTATGTCCTCAAGTTTAGATATGATAGTTGTGTCAACAAGTTTCGTCTGTGTCAAGTGTCAACACGTTGATTGCTAATCTGTCCTCAAGGTTTTGATATCAAGCTGATAAGGTTTTATGTGCAATGAATTGGTCAGTGCACAAAGGACGTGCCTTTGAAAAAGAATTTTGCTATGATACTGAGCACCGGGCTTTTTAATAAAAATTAAATATTTACTGTTTAAAGCACAAATTTAGTTTATATTATAAAATAATATTGTACGAAAATGTATAGGTACAAACTAAATATTTACAAACATATTAAAAATATAAATTTAGTTTGTATCTTAAAAAAAATTTAGGGTTAATACCTT